GCCCAATCCCCTACAGGACAAGCCATCTCAACGGCCCCGCATGTATTTGGATCACACTCCTCCAGATCCCAAAAGCCCTGTGCGATGTCCATTTCTCCTCCCTTGATGTCGTTGCCTATCACTCGCGCTCCACAAAACGACACTAGACGCAACTTTAACCTCTTGGATATTTATTCCAAGAAACGAGCTTACACATCATCATTCTTTGGTGCCATGAGCCCTCAAGGTTTGTAGACGATGCCGGATCGTAAAGAGCATTCCGGTCCTCCTTCATGTTATGTAAAGGGTCGATGAAAATAATCATTCCTCCAGGTCTTAGGCATTTGATAGAGTCCAAGAGGGTTGCATGGCGATCTATGAACTGTAACTCTCGTTAGGCGCGCAATGACAAGAGGAGATTTCGTACACCCCATCCTGAGTGTCGACAGTGGATTAAATCATACTGTCCATGAAATTTGGATAGACCCGTGTTGATGTCGTGGACCAGAAAGCTGCAGTTTGAAGGTATTTCTTCGGTAGGACCAGGGTTGAGATCGATTCCTAGTACCTCAACATGAGGAAACTTGCGAGCCATTTCGATACACCTATCCATTCCTTGTTTCAGCTATTGTGATGGTGGTCGGAGGATAGAATAAGTACCATATCCCGGTACCAGAACCTGGAAGGGAGGTTGAGATGATCCTTCAATGGTTTGAGAGGCTTAATTACCTAGATCTAGGATCCTTCCTCCACACGTTCCATCACAAGAATACCTGACGGAGAGTTTGAATTTTTGAGAGTTTACTATGACAAGAAGCAGTGGAGAGAGCGTATCGAAGCACTTCGAGCCACCCAGACGCCAGACATGATCGCATTAGCCACTGTGGAGGGCTATGATATGATAGAAAACCTATAGGTACAATAGATTTACTAAATATAAGTAGTGACTGCTCCTTATGTAACGGGACCCTATTGTACGTCTGCTACGCCCTGTGATTTGATCTTAACTCGATTGGTGGCTGCTATATAAATGGCGGCTCACGTCTCCTCACTTGCCCTCTACCACTATCTATCATAATCCTAGGGAAATGGCCACGGAGACTAGTGGATCTGTTCATCCGGCAACCAACTACGGGCAACTCCATGGTCAGTGGACTTCAGAGACAATGCAGAGTCGACCCTCTAATGCACTGATACAGAGACTCGTGAATATAACAGACTGTGAGCCATGTCGTTCATTTTACCAAGACTCAAACCTCCAAAATTCAGTGACAACCAACATGAGGCACATAAAGTTGCGATGGGCGGTCCTTATCCTTCTGTGTGTGAAGA